AAATTGAGTTTTCAAGTAATTTAATCATATCAAGTTTTCAACATAATGATCAAAATATAACGTTAGTTTTCAACTATTATGATTCATGTTTTTATTTAACAATTTAATTTAGCCTTATAATTTACAGGTTAATTTTTCAAGCAATTGGGGTATTAGTAATTAAATGTAATAAAGATAACATTTTCATGCTGTCAAGAAAGTCCTTCTTCCTTAATCATAAATATTTTCATAATTTCGTACATGTTTCTTAATTCACTCTAAACTTTTGAAGATAAGAGTGCATACATAAAACATATTGGATTTATATCTTAGTTCTCTCCTTACTGTATTTTAAATAAAACTTTACTTTTATTTCATCTACATCATTCTCTATTTAACTATATTGTAGTAGTGTATCCTTACATAGAAAAGGATACCCTTATAATCTTTTTTTTTTTTTTTACTATACATGTTACATTGTGTAATTTAAAAAGATGCAAGCTCAGGACACCCATCTTTTAGCAAGACATTTCAAGCACTATCAGGTTAAGATAACTTTCCACAGCTTATTTCTAAACTTTTATTAAACTTAGTCTGGATTCTGGCTGAAATTCACTAGAGCATTCATTGTTTCAATTTTGAAGGGTTTAAGTAACACTATAAGAGTTCAATTTAACAGCAATCGGAGGTCATTTGTTTCCACTCTGAATTAATGTTAAATGAACTCTCTACATAGTGTATATCTTACTCCACTTGTTGTTGTAATAATTCTGAAAGAGTCAATGAACTTTGACACTGCATATTTAACACTGTGGAATTAACTGTGTAGTTTTTGGTGTGTGCTCTCGCTTGTCTGATTGAAAATGGATCCAGTGCCTGAGTCTGAGTTGATGATGATTTGAACCAGTATACATACATCCAGTATGTCTCTATGTCTGCATTCATTGTTTTTCCTTAATAAGAAATGTTTCAGTCCTTCCTGCTAAAAACAGTTTCACAGTATGGAGCTGCCAAACAATAGGCTCTGTTTATGCTTGAATAGAAAATTACAGTAATTTTGTAATTCTCTCATTTTAATTTAATCAATCTTAAAATAGTTGTTCACATTGTCATAATAGAGGATGGTGTTCAGAATATTGAGGAAAGGTATTCATTCAAAACAATTTGAAACAAAGGTTAAAAAACCTAAATGTGGAGAAAGTGTAGCATGTTTAGTAATTACTGAATGCACTGTATCAACTGTTAAACTTATAACAAATCTTTACCCAAAGAGCCTAAAGATAGATTATTTTAAATATTCTAATTTTTGAGAACATCAGAGATTGGGCAATACAATCAAATAAAATATTAAAGAAACCAGGAGGGAACACAGCTTAATAAGAAAATCATAAAGACATTTTTACTTGAAAACACATATGTGGAAACCAGGAGTAGAAACATTTTTATACAAAATTCCCAATTGTAATTAGGACGAAGTCTGGATCTGTCAAGTCATTCCTAGAGAAAACTATATTGCCACTCCACAAGAAACAAGCAGGTGAAATTATCAACAAAATAAAGGGCTTTTAAGAATAATCAGTCTTCTCATGTTAATAGTGACTAGCATCAGTTTATTAATACATAATTACACAGTAAAAAGTAACCTCAATTTTTTAAGCTAGGAAAATATTTTCTGTTGTGTAAACCCAAAAACCTAAGTACTAATATAGGGAAAATATTTAAAGTCAGTTCAGTAAACCAAGGTATTGCAAAGTGAGATGCAAGGATATATACCTTTAACTTCACTCTCCCATGAACATCAAGGGGAAGGACATAGAAACTGAGGAGAGTTTCAGATACCTGGCTGTTCATGTCAACAATTAACTGGACTGGACTCATAACACAGATGCCCTGTACAAGAAGAGCCAGATTCACCTCCACCTCCTGAGGAGGCTGAGGTACTTTGGAGTGAGCAGGCCCCTGCTTAAAACCTTCTAAGACTCTGTAGTGGCATCAGCCCTCCTCTACGCCATCGTCTGCTGGGGCCCTGGCAGCGCAGATCAGAACAGAAAGAGACTGAATAAGCTGATGAGAATGGTCACTTCTGTGCTGGGCTGCGCTCTGATCTAGATGGTGAAAGTGGCCGATAGGAGGGTTTTGTCCAAGCTTAAATCCATCATGGAGAACACCTTTCACCCCCTGCACCAGACTGTAGAGGAGCTGAGCAGCTGCTTTAGAGACAGATTTATACACCCCATGTGTAAAAACGAGTCCTACCACCGGTAATTTATCCCTGCTGCAATCAGACTTTACAATGCCACTGCACTATAACCTGGATTAATAACACTGCAATAACTTATACTGTTTATCTATTTAACAAACCAGAAACTGCACTGTTCCTGCAACCACATTCCTGTAAATAAAATAGTGAATATATAATTCCCCTTAAATCTCTCCTCTTTTTTCACCATCCACTGTATATATCTTGATCGCCTGTATATATGTCATGCACCTTTTCCTCCTTTGTGCATCCCGTTTGTTTATAAGAGCTGATGTCACAAATTAATTTCTCCATTGTGAGATCAATAAAATTCTATTTCACTCTATTCTAAAAAGCATTATTCTGTCGTTAGAGGTTTAATATTTGAAGTTTAGTAATTAGCTTTTCTAAATTGCCACTATTTTTACATAAGCTAACAAAATCCATATTTAAAGTTACCATAACAGAGAACTCAAAATTAAGTAAAATTAAAAGCAAAAAAAAATTATTAAGGTAAAGTTCTAAACTAAAAAATTTGCTGAGGATTGCTGACTAAGATTTTTAGTTCTACCAACTTGTCCCTTTATACAGTATACAATTAATCTTTTTCAGTGACCTCTCTCTTCATAATTCTATTCAGTTAACTCTTACAGTGCCAATAACACATCATCTCCAGGGAGATAACAGAGTCATCTAATCAAAGCTTTCTGACATTGGTTAAAAGTGTTCTATCCAATGAAACCTATCTGATTGCATCCAATCATCTAATTTATAGGATCTGCTGCTCCTGGAGGAGCATGTATTAACAGTGGGGATTTGCTTGCGTTATTAACAGTAGTATTATAGCCAATCACTTCCTGTGTCTTTCATCCAGATTACTACCATCATATAACATTTAATACTGCTGAGAGGGCTTTTAAATTGTTCCATATCTCTACAATAACCTGTTTTCTTAATAGTATTTTTATACTTTCTATAATTTCTCTATCAAATATTTTTACATTGTAACAAGTTGTTGGATATTACATAAATAACTTGGTCAAAGTATCCAGAATGGCAATATTCAGTCATGGCCATCACTGGGTGTAAATTGCTTTCCAGTAAAATTATTAGCAAATAAGGTCCAAAGAGGTCAAAGGTTAAATCATAACACAAAATAAATCCTTCTATAGTAAAAGCATCTTTTCAAACTGTAAATTACAAATATAGTTTTCAGGTCTTACTGAGAGAGAATAAAAAGAGCCACAAATCAAAGTTTGAATTAAACAACAAAGTTTATGTAATGTTATAATAAAGCAAAAAAAAAAAAAAAAATGTATTAGATTTTATTTTGTTTTCACTTAAAATTATTTAGAGCTATTTAGCACATGTGGATTTTTAAACTAATATGGAAATGAGTGCCTGAAAAACTCTCAAACAGACTAAAAGTTTATGAGGTTAAGGATAAGTGAGGAAACAATATTAAAAAACACAATATACAGATATTTTTTGGATTTTCAACATATTAACGAAGAATGGCTTGTCAAGGTATTGACTAAAGCAGTAAAAGAAATATAGTAAA